GTAGTACTATCTCAGAGTTTCATTCATAAGAGTTTGCCGTGTGCAAAAGCTATTAAACCATTGGTCAGGGAAAGCTTTTATTAATTATTCATGTGCCAAAGTTGAAAGTTTAAAATAAGTCGACCCTAAACAGTATTTTAGTGATAAGGGAATGCATTGCCTTATATAAACTATATAGTCATTGCGCATGACGCGATCAGTGGAATGAGGTCACAGAATGTGGAGATGCAGTCTATGTTAAAAAATGACAAACCAAGTCGTACTTTAAAAATTCATAACTTTAAAACTACAACAGCTAAAAATATGATTTTGGTGTTATAATTATGTTTAAAATTAGCTCTATTCAACTGTGCCATTGGTTTATTTTTAAAAAAATGTTTACATTTTTGACCAAAGTATCTAATATGTCGAAAGAACTAATTTAATAATAAATAGACACACACATCGAAAAAATTAAAAACTCGGATTTTTCGGCGCCGACGCCCATTTCCGATACAAAAAAAGTAGTAGTCTCCCTTGTTTTATCGAAGTATCTAACCTAACTAATCTAAACTCCACCTTGACAACATCTGAAAACATTTTCAAACCCAATATTTAGTGGACATAATTAATGGACGCCCCTTAAGCGAACTGCATAGTTGAATATAGCCTTGGTCGGTAATCAGAATATAATTATTAACTAGGCTAATGATATTGCCTCTAAAAAAAATTACCTGAGCCATTTGGACCAATAATTGCTGTAAACCTTTTAAACGGGCCTATTCTTTGCTTCCCCTTATAAGATTTGAAGTTCTCAACTTCAATGTACTTTAGCATTCCAGGCATTTTGGATTTTGTTGCAAACAGTATTTACTGTTCTCAAAACATTAATAATAAATAAATCTGTATTAAGGTAAACAAATCCTTTTGTTTTGTAGGTAAGTTTACAACTACATCCCCGCCAAGAATCTCTTAGGCAGAGATTGTTTAGATATACCGGAAGCTCTAACAATCTATTTACACATTATGTGTTAATATTCTAATAAAAAACTGTTAAGAAAATTGCTAAAATTATTTTGAAGGGGATGGGGTGCTCACACTAATTTAGCAACAATTAATTTATTTATTATTGTTGCATAAATATATTTATTAGCTTAAGTGTTTTTTATACGTCAAGTTCTTAGCATTTTTGGTTTCTGATAATTGCAAATTGATTGATTTGTTCTAAAATCTTTGTGACTAACTTTCCTGAAAGTTATTGAAAAAAACTATCTTTAGAATGTAAACTAAAGTTTCAATTACTAATTAGTTATTTCTTAACCATTTTAAGCTTTACTGCCAATAAAATCCAAATTAGAGATGTTCCAGAATAGTTTTTCAAATAGATTAGTAGCTTCGGTGTAAATAATTATAAGTTATTTAATATTAATTAATTCAAATATTATTTAATATGACAAAACAAAAATAAATTTTCTGTTTCTTTCAAATTTACATGAGCTAAACAAAATTTTATCTCTAACTATTGAAGATAATTATATTTAAAACATGCTAAACCAATAGCAAGAGAGTACAGGTAAAACTTCGATGCATGACGACCAGAGTGTAAACTTGACAACGGCCCGAACCGCAAGGCTTTCTTTCTCCAAAAATCAAATTCTCACATATTTTTTTCAGAATTCTAAAATAAAAGCATAAAGATGTACAAATTAGATCTGCCTGTTGATTACAAACAGGCGGCGGCAATAGAACGCCGTCGCGCTATGGAGGAAGAGAGAAAAACTCGTATATTTAACGCCAGAACGAGACAGATTGGGGTTAGTACATTTTTTTTTTTTTAATTCTTAAAAATTAATCTGATACTTCCTCCTCAAATTTATTTTATTTTGTAAGTTTAATTTTTTCCTAACAGTATTTCTTTTATAATCATAACTTTTTAAATTTTTTTATGTTTAATTAAATTGAAACACTTTAAATTAATTCTAATGATGTTTGACATAGTTTACTGAAATTATATGTATGTTATAAGTTATATGAAAATTATGAAATTATTGGAATAAAATATGTTAAAAGTTGTTAGCCTACTAAGTTACTTTGTTGTATGATGCTTATTATGACACTTGTCAATAGGGTCTCTCATTTCCAAGCTTTTAGCTTATTCTGGTGAAACAGGATAAAACTGACTCTTACGCCAGGAAATCCCACTATGATTAGCCTAAATGAAAATGGCCTAATAATGTCAAATGTAGAATATTTTTAAAAACTAAATTAACCTACAACTGATATGTTGGTTTTAGTGAGTGACTGTTTAATGTAGCCAGTGACTTAGCCTTATGGAGTGTTTGGGAAATGGCATCACATCAACAAAAAGTTACTAAGTCAAGGCTTAACTATTAGTATTAGATAGAAAACGAAATAAGGGATCATTCATAAATGATGTCGGGCATCTAGGTTATGGTTTTGGGTGGGGTGGGGGGGGGTAATAAATTTGTGATGATTTATTTTATGGTCTACATTGGGTGAAAAATTTGTGATGATAATAGAGTGTTCAAAATCGGTCTAAACGGTGTGACATCCTTTTTTTAATGGAAAGTTGTTTGAAAGTGTAAACTTTGTTTAATTTTTTTAATTTAAAGGGCTATTAAATAAGTGAATTTCATGGTTTAATATTACTTAAAATTATAACCAACTTTACTCTTTCTAATGTGTTTATTGCTATTTTAATTATTGAATTATTTTTCATATTCATGATCTTCTTTAATTTTTTTAAGATTGACAAGCAGGCAATTGAACAACAAGTTTTTGATAAGAAACAAATGGAAGAATATGAAAGGAAAAGGCATGAGGCATTTGGTATGACTTTTTGAGGATTTTCTTTTTGTTTTAATGATGGGCGTAGCCTAAATCCCCAACACCACTGAGTTAAAACTCTTTCAATATTTGCTCTAGAACACAGGTTAAAGGCTATCCATAAATGACGTCACACACATTTTGCAAAATTTTAACCCCCCATCATCACAAATAGATTCCAATATATTGTCACAAACCTCCGCACTCCCCCCCCCCCATAAAAATCCATCTGTCTACTACTGTCCTTTACAAGCCGTAATAAAAATTACCTCCCATGGATATCGAATTACTGCTCCTGTGTCAGAAACATTTCCCTAGAACAGTGATTCTTAAACAGGTGTGAAAGCAGAACCTGTAGTGCATAAGACCCAGAATATAAATTTCATTTGCTAGTTGTTTCTGCCTTTAAAAATAAAATCAGTTTTATGCCGTTTGAAAAGCTGCAGTAAATGTTTTTTCTGATGAATTTTGCTAGTGGATTAATTATATTGGTAATTTTTTTTCTTGTATCTAGAAAATTAATGAAACAAATTAAACAACAATAAATAAATTATTTAATTATTTTCAGTTTTTAAATATTATTACTATTCAAATTATGCAGGGGTGGAAAGGATTGGGTGATGTTTAAAAGTTGAGAGGAGATGCAGCACTGCGACAAATTTAAGAATCCCTGGTATAGAACATTTACTAAAAGTCATCAACCCCTCCAACCCCTCTCTCCGACATTTTTTGTTCCATCTTACTTCCTGCCATGATAGCCTCAATTATATGAATCCCGTCTCCACATTTTGATGTAAATTCTGAGGACTGTCAAAGTCACTGCACCCTGACTGTCTTTCTCTGTGGCGTCCTGTACTTGATCAGATGCCAAATAATATAATTATAATTTTTGTATAAAAGAATAATGTTAAAAAGGTCTGTATTTTAGTGTTATTTGTTTTTTTTTAATTATATATTCCGCTTCATTGTGACGTCACATTGCTTTAACCCCCCACTTTGGCTATTTTGGAGAGATGTCGCCATGACGTCATTTGTGTGTTTATTATAGTTTCAGTGAATTAGGGTTCAGGTTGGGTTTATGGATACATATAGGGTTCAGGTTAGGTTTAGGGATACATTTTGGGTTCAGGTTAGGTTTAGGGATACATTTAGGGTAGGTTTAGGGACAGAGTTAACTAGAACTTTTAATTTTAGCCATTACCCCCCCCCCCCCAAACCTTCCCCAAATTTGCAGGTTTTATTTAAAGTAATATGTACTGTGGCGCCTCCAGTAATAAACAACTAAAAGACCTGAAATGATACTCCTGGCTACAACACCCCCCACCCCAGATTTAAAGAAAGAAAAGCATAGATAATTGAAATTCAAAAATGGTTATTGAATATATTTATTGGGAGAATACACTTAAAAGCTTTAAAAATAAAAGTGATAAAATAAATTAAATTAATAGAATCTTTATTATTAACAAAAGAATTTCTTGAAGAAACATTTCATTTCAAATTTTGGAGAATTTATACTTCATTTTTTTATCTGACAACATAAAATTGAAAGATACGGTCTTATGGGTCCCGTAATGGATTTTTAAAAATGTTCTTTGATGTGGATAATCCTTGTTTAAGATAGGTTGTTGCAAAAGGCAGCAATTATTGATAGCCTCCTCATCTGCATTTTGAAAGACAATGCAGCTCTTTACATTTTGAGGATAAGCAGTACTGTCAGAAGGAATCTGCCATGGTTATGAAATTCACTGGTTGACACCCACATAGGGGCATGACTAGTTATGGAAAATAATACATTTGACAGTGCTGAATCAAGTTGTTTTATAACAGATTTAAGTTAAATAAAACAGTATGGTACCACCATAGAAGGGTGTGATAAGAGAGTGTGACATAGAACCATAGTAGGGTACCACCAGAGCAGGTTGGCATCAGAGCAGGTTGGCACCTAAGCAGACTTGGAGAATATCCATGGGGAAGTCTGGAGGGGGAGACACCTTGAGATAACTTTGTTACACCAACCCTAATGATGCCCAGATAAAATAGAAGACAAGGACACACTTTTTATAGAAAACAGCAGGTGGGATCATGCTAGCTGGCGAGCCACTAGTCACAACAACATATTGGCCTGGGTGTGTTTCTCTATTTCACTGGCCAGATGTAGTGTTGTGACATAAAATTATTTTTTGAAAATGAACCCACTTTTTATTTAACTTAATTTATTTCTATTTTTGAGCCTTCATTACCCCAAAGATTTTCATGTTTAACCCATTTGGGGTAATTTACCCTGGTTGGCTGACCCCTGCTCTAGACCAATGTTATCTAAACTTCCTAGTGTGAATGTGAATTGCACCAAGGACCAGTTCGTTAATTATTGTTCAATGAAAATTATCTTGTTCATGTTTGTGGACTAATAACTGAGTTCAGCACTGGACTGCTCTTTATGATAACCCTCAACTGCTCGGATACTGTTCCATTTTATCCCACAAAACTATTTTAGATTATATTGTATTAGCTTATACATATCGATTTTGAAAATATTTTTCGTATACACATCAGAGCCAGTCATTTATGCCATCTTAGCTACCAGGTGTGTTTTACTTTATTAAATAATAATGTGAAAAACTTCATTATAGTTTTAATTGATTTCCCACAGCATTTATCATTTTAGTTCTAGATAATATGGGAGATAAATATGAAGCTAATAGTGTTTTTTTGTGTGCTAAAATGATGGTTTAGTGTTTATTTTGTGTTTCCTAAAAAAATTAACCATCTATAAACAATAATTCAAATATACCAACAATTCTGAAATTTCTCTAAATTATTATGCATATGAACAGTTAAAAGACAAAAATGGCTGATATGACCCAAAATTTATGAGTGAACATTTTTTCTAATGTATCTTTTTCTAAATTTAAAAATATTAGCTGCTGATGCCCTAAGGAATGACAGAATTGCAACTATGCTACAGAAACGTCAGGAACATGATGTTCGTGCTCTTAATGAGGCTCTAAATGAATTCAGAGCCCTCCATCAACAGCCAAACCAGAGGAGAGAGTGGGACCTCTATGACCCTGATGCTCTAAAGAAAGACAAACCAGCTCGTGTCCATGATGATGACCCCCGCTGTGGAATTGCTAGTATACAGAAATTTGATGGTGAGGACCTCAATGGCAAGGTAAATGATGCTAACAAGTTTTGGTCTATGATATTTTTTTTAATGCTTTTTCTGTCAGCAAGCCCTGCTAGAAGAAACACATTTTTTTTCTTTCAAGAAAATAAGTACAATTTAAAGCTGAAGAGCCAAATAAAAAATTTATTTTATAAGAACTTCTTTTTTTTTTTTTTTAAATAAGGTGTTAGAGACATTGTATATTATGAATTTTTTAACATTTGTTTTAATTATTTATATTTAAATGTTACAAAATGCATAACATACGAAATCAATAACACTAATTTTTCTGAGTAAGAAAAATAAAAAATTTATTTTATAAGATTTTTTTTTTTTTTTTTTTTTAAATAAGGTGTTAGAGACATTGTATATTATGAATTTTTTAACATGTGTATTAATTATTGATATTTAAATGTTACAAAATGCATAACATACGAAATCAATAACACTAATTTTTCTGAGTAAGAAGTTCAGATACAATAAATGTAGTTATTCTCTTTTAATTTTATGAATAATTGTTGGTCGTCTTTATTTAACAAAAGTTTACATTTTTTTCTGAAGTCAGTGAGCATAATTTTGTGTGTATTGCTCATCTTTTTCATGTAAAGAGATCATTCAGTATATTATTAGCACTTATTTAAGAAGATCGTGGTCAAATATGGATGCTCCAGAAAGTTTATATCAATAGTACAGCAATTGCATACTGGTATGCAGGCTAGGGCTCGAGTAAAATGGGGAGACATCTAAACCATTCCTTTGGCATATGGCATCAAACATGTTTGTGTCCTGGTTAAAACACTTTTCATTCTCATGTTTTCCTTCATGGTGGCCGATGCCTTCGGAGAGGGAGAGGTTGGAATTGGTGTCAGATACTGAACTGATGTTAAATTATTCAACCTTAAGAAGCTACATGCCAAATACAAGGTCCTGGCAGACATCATCAGAGACTTCCTAAGTGCTGATGATTATGCCCTAAATGCTGGATCAGAAGCTGATATGGAACACAGTTAACAACTGATGATGAGGTTAAACTTTGAATTGCAAGAGCCCGTGCAATATTCAGAAAAATGTCATCACTAAAATAAAAGTAAATAAAGCGGATGTACTTCCTATACTTCTCTATACCTGTGGAATGTTGCCTATCAACACCATGGAAGAAATTGAACCACTTTCATGCAACAAGCTTCAGAAAAATCTTAAAAAATAGAATCGCTGGACAGGGTCCCAGAAACTGAGCTACTCCCATGTTGCCAAATGAATTTTGAATGTTTAAAAAATACATTTAAACACAAAATAGGAAATTTACTCCCTACTAATAAAGAAAATTGAAATCGATTTAAAATTTAGGTTGAATTGCTTTGTTAATATTAAAAGCTTGAAAACAGTTCAGGTTTAATTCTAAAACACACAAGGTGGCCATTTAACTGTTAATTTTATGTATGAACTTGTCATTCATTTTAATGATGGTAGACTTTGGTTAGCTTATAATCTATGTAATTTATTAACAGAAATGTATTCTCCAAAAAAGAATCCAAACAAACACACTATTTTACAATGCTTCTAAATGTTATAATAATATAATGTTATCACTTCACTCCACGAAATTTGACATTGCAATTTTTGAACTGTTTTTTTTAATTATTTTTATTGCTCAGTCATGTGTAAAGAGTTTAACTCTTTCAAATGCTCTTCCATGAGGAATTTTATCCTGGAAGCTTGGTGTGTATGAATTGTCAAATATATCAATAATATAAATTTTTTTATGGGTAAAGTAAGGTAAAGGCAAATATTTTTGTATCTTTTCAAGGCTCGTAAGAAGCTTCAAAATGAACAGGCACGGAAATGGCATGAGGCTCAAATGCGTGAAAAGGAGAGAGCCCGTCGTAACCAAGAGGAAGCAGATCGTCTTTATGAATTGAAGCAAAAGGAACTTGATCAAAGAGCAATGGAGCTCCAAGAAGCAGAAGAGCAATGTAGAAAGGCAATCAATATGGCTACTGCTTCATATAATGATGCATTGGTAAGTTAAATTTGTAGTCTCTGATTTATATCCTAAATGACTCTATTATAAGCCATAAGCCTAGATGGAACACTGCATTTAAATTTATTTTAATTCTTTATTCCTAAAGTTTTTTGGTTAAATTTGAACTCATCAAATTTAAAATTTATAGATTTCATTTCCCATAAATCATTTTTTGCGTACATTTTCCTTTCTTGTAATATTCAAAACGTCCAGCCACTATTTGAAAAAATGAAGAAAAGTTATTTTTTTAAGCATTTTAATCTCATAACTCTTGGATTAAGTTCCAAGCACCCCTCTCACCACAGGAAACATTTTGTAACCTCATGTAGAATTTAAATGTTTTCAATTAAACATGTAATGTCCCAAAAACGTATAATACAATATAATTAAGTTAAATTGACTTTTGTTAAAGTTAATTATAACTGTGTTTTGCAAGGTCAAGACCTCATAAGTATTTGTAACTTACAAGATTAATTAACTTACAAGACTTAGGTTTGGTTTTCTATCAAGCCATTGAATGCAGTACTGTGAACACGAGGGGAAAAAACAAGCAAGGATAAAATACTTATCTCCAACTGCTGCAAATTTATTTGTTGTTTATTCTTATATTTTGTAAAACAATGTAAATTCTTGCATTTTCATTGCTTTGATTTCTGTTAAGTACATTAAACAACTAATTTTTTTTTTTAAAAAGCAGTACAACAAAATAAATCAATAAACTTGATCAAGGATCTGTGATTTCAGTTTGTGATGCATTATGACTTATAACACATATTAAATGACAATATCTTTTTATTTGAAGAACAATGAGCAAATGGAACGGGAAAGGCTCAGGAGACAACAGGAGTTGGATGACAACATGACAGAAATCGCCAATCACGTATTTGGGGACATACTCACTGAGAATCCTGCTGTTGCCCAGAGTGCCTTTGGCCCACATCGTGTCATCCCTGACAGATGGAAGGGGATGTCACCTCAGCAGCTGGAGGAGATTAGGAAAGAGCAGGCCAGGCAAAGAGCAGAAGCTGAGGTAAAAATTAAAATGCTATAGGTTGAATTATCAGCTAATGACAAACATAGCTTACATGCTAAAAAAGCTTGTAAGTGCAGGTGGATGTCAAGGATTCTCTGTTTTTGTAAAGGTGTTTCACAATCTACTGCAATAAATATATTAGGATAAATTGGGATAAAAGTGTGATATTATATTTTATCTACAGTTAGGCTAATTTTCAAAAATGGCATACATTTTGTTATATTATTTAGATATCTCTTATACACATTACTCTTCTGGTGTGACTCATAGACTGCTTCCATTTCTGGCTGCTTCCTTTTTAGCATATTTTATTTGGTATTGAGAGTATATTACAAATAATTCTAAATTTTTTAAAGAAGTATTGTTCAATAGTTTGTTCATTAGCGCGCAAAATATAATTCCCGATAACTATGCTAGATATATTTTTTTTTTTTAATAACGCATCCGCATTTGGTGCGTGATATTTTCTTTTCGGAAAATGAAATCGTCTCAATTTAAGTATGGTGTAAAAAATATTAATTTTAAAAGTGGTTGGGACATCAAAATATTTAATATAGTTCATGGGGGTGAAATAAAAAGTGTGCAGTGACGTATCATGGGAAATTGGGATTCTTAAATGTGCGTTACTTGAGCTCATGTTTTGTCAAGTAACTTTAGTAGATGGGAAGTTCACTCATTGCTGTCACCAATGTTCGGCGGGCTATATCTAGTTAATATAAAATTCTTTAAGGTTAGAGTTTCTGTTACAGGGAGATCATTGAATAATATATGTTGACCTTCCTTTGAATATCTGGCTCCAGATACCCAAATCTTCTTCACTAAATCTCTTCAAATATATGTGTGCTGTTGTATTGCAATAAAATCCTCAGTCAATTTCCATTAACAAGTCTATTAAACAATTAAAATTGTTTTTAAAAAATGAGTTCTTACAAAAGGCTCTTAGAAATGTATTTTATTGTCATCTCTGAATTATTTTCAGCGCCTTCGACAGGAGGAAGAACTCAGAAACAGAGAATTTGAACGCCAGGCATCAGCCAATGCCAGAGCAGCCCTCATGGTTGAAAGAGAACTGGAACGCAAGCGCAGGGAACTGGAGAAGGCTCAGGCTGATGAGAATCGTCGTTTAGCACAGGAACAAAAAGCTCACTTAGATTTCCTAAACAGAGAAGTGTATACAAATCCTCCTACAGCTGCCTACTTTATGCAATTTAACACCACAACTCGATAATTAATTCCATTTTTCCTAGTTAAAATGTCCAAATCAACTGTGATAACAAATGTTGAGTGATTTAATCATGTCATATTATATGAAGGATTCTTTCAAAGCTAGCTTCTTGTTTGTACATCTTTTTTTTTAAAGAAATAATTTTTTATTGATCAAAATAATGTCTGATAGCTTAATATTCTTTATCGTTGCAAATATAACCTGGAATATTTTCAAAATTTCAGGATCTACTATAAAGTTAGCTGAAAAAATTATGATTTTAGATCCTATTTTTAATGATGAGAGGTGGGAATCTTATGAATTTATGCAGCAAACTTTGAAATCTAATGCATCTTGATATTCACATTTTTATGCTGATATTTTGAGCTGAGCTTACAGTTACACCATGCAGCTTAACTTGAATAGTGTATTTATTTTACTATGAAGTAAATGTGTTTTTTAACATAAAGTAGAAGTTTTTGTTTAAATTTTTCATTTTGAAATCAATGCATTTTAAAAGATTAGAAATTTGCAATGATATAATGTTAAAAATAATAAATTATTTTATCATGTTTTGGAAAAGAGATGCACTTGAAAAAATATATTGTCTGTCATAATTTAATCTATTCTACAGTGTTAGTCATATATTTATTTTTTAGTGCTATCAAAAACAGATGGAATTTGCAAGTAAATATTATCGTCTGTAAGCATTAGTATATCTGATTTTCCAATGATGCATGTGTGAGAGGAAAGAATGTGTTAAAATAACCTTTGAGAAAAAAACATGAAAATTTGACCATTTTATATTGTATTGTACTTAAAGATAAAAATTAACAAATATGGTTTTGTTTTATATTATAGCCCTACATTTATATTTGTTAAAAATTTACTTTTAAAAACTTTATGAAAATATGATATATATTGATTTTGATAAAAGATTTATACTGGGAATGATTTAGCAAGAATGTCAAAATGTTTTTTATTATTTTGAATGAACTGGAAGTAAAATGTAAATACAATTTTTGGAAGATTAAAAAGTGAGCAGAAGATGCTATGGACTAAGTTGGAATTATTACTATAACTTCAAATGTCATATTGCCATGTTTTATTCTTGAGCTTTATAAAGTTGATTTTAAGCAAAGAAATAATAAAGTCAACTATTTTTTAATATTATGGTTAGCAACACACAAAAAGCAACATAGTTTTCCCTGTACATCTTTTAAACTGTCCAAAAATAAATAAAAAATCTATTTGAAACCTGCTGCAGCTGAAGTCTGTGTCAGCTGCAATACAGCAGCTTCACGAGTTAAATGTTGGGTCAAAGTTAAAAATGTGTTTTCCTATATCTTAAAGTGAAATCCAGCAACTCAAATCCTTTCCTTTGAGTCAGTGTCAATCTTTATTAAGTTAAGTTGGATAGTTAGATCATTATTCATTACAACTGTCCTTGTTCATATCAGGATATCAAAGCTTGCTATAATTTTAATCTGAATAAGCTGAGATCTTTGTTGCACATCTTTCAAGCTATTCCTGTATCAACATGCATTGATGAATCATGGCATGTAAATACAAGAGATTACCGCAACATGAAATTTAACTACTTGGAATAGCTAATACGTAATACTTTATTATAGAAAACACATGCCGTTAAACTACATGACCGTCCTAAATATTTAGTGTTTATATTAGCTGGATAAACATAATCATTTGCATCCAATACCCATGGGTTGCCACATCCACCAACAAGTGCTGTGTTGTAAGTCACAGAAGTTTGGACTCTCTAAACTTGTGGTATCTTTTGTTAACTTCATTAGAGCTCATGCACTACACCACAGACAGTTTCAGGAATGTCTTTCTGGGCCTGTCAAGATATTCTGTGCAACACAGACGTTCTCCTGTCAAGATATGCTGTACCACATAGAAGTCCCCCTGTTACGATATGCTGTACCACACAGAAGTCCACATGTTAAGATATACTGTACCACATCGAAGTCCACCTGTCAAGATAGTCTGTGCCAAACTCAAGTACGTTGGTTGATTTGAGCTAGAGCTTTGAAACGTTATTATCATTTGCATCCATAAGTTTCTGCTTTTATGCTTTCGAAATAAACACAGAAGAATTGGAGATGCAGAATGGAAGTGGCACCTTGCCTTTCTGAAAGATTTAACAGAGCTACTCAACAGTTTCATTATGCAACTACAAGGAAAGTTGCCTTTCTGAAAGATTTAAGAGAGCTACTCAACAGTTTCATTGTGCAGATACAAGGAAAAGGGAATCTCATCTGTAATATGTATTCTACCACCTCCCCATAACTCTAAAACCTGTTGACACAAAAAAAAAAAAAAAAAATGCAAATCCCCCCCCCCCCCCAAAAAAAAAAAAAAAAAAAAAAATGCCAACCCCCCCCCCCCCCCCAAAAAAAAACAAACAAAAAAAAAACACGTGATTTTCTGGAAATGTTGCAAAAAGCAGTATCTTTTTATTAGATTTAAAGAACCTCATCTCAATGAACAGGACATAAAGCTTATCCGGGGGGGATGATTTTTTGGAAATGTTGCAAAAAGCAGTATTTTTTTATTAGATTTAAAGAACCTCATCTCAATGAACAGGACATAAAGCTTATCCGGGGGGGGGGGGTCCATTTTCTGTTGACATTGAAATTATTTTATCAAATTTACCTAACGGAATTGACCAAACTGGCCGCACAGTTTAAAAAGTTTGAGGACCCCTGATCTAGACTTTCAGTGGCATCTTAGATATTTAAAAAAGCACAATATCCAATTCTCTTGTGACAAGTTTCAGTGGTTTTCTTGGGAGGGAGGTATCTAGGCTAATTGCGGTAATCTAGCTGACAACAGGGTTAAACTGACAGAAAACAGAAGAGCCTCTTCAGATGAAATATTAACCAGTGGCTCATCAGATTGGCAAACTCTTTGAAACTAAGAAAGTACCCCGAATCAAGAGCAGAATAACCAATTTGTAATTATTACTATAATTTTCAATGTCATGTTATGCTCAGTTGACACGATCAAATAATATGACACTTAAAACACTGCAAATAATGTAACTCTTATAACATGCCAATTAATGTGACCATTTTAACAACATTTCACCATTCAAAGCTGCTAAAACTCAGTCGGGTAAATGTTCTACTCCCGAGCCGTTCTAGGGCATAGGCAAACTAGGCGACTGCCTAGTGCCCAATCGCCAAGGGGGCCCCGCCGGGCGCTTTTTAGCCTACTATTTGCAAGTCTATATATTTCAAAAGTATACATTTTCTCTCTTTTTTTTTTTTTGCTGGAATAAATCCGATGGTGTGGACTTGACTTCACAGGACGAATTCCACAAGGCCTGGGATTATTCTTCTAGGATTATAAGCTGGTTCCCACCAGTAAATCGCCTCTATCCACGTGCTGGATAAACCCAAGGCCCAAAGGAACATCATGTGGATGATACAGCTTGGCACTAGTGGCTTGAGATTTGCTCAGTTTAGACCATTCGGCCACCCAGCACCGGAATTATCCATATCGTTAGTGGTTACACGCGAGCAAAGCGGAAACAGTGACGAAGGCAGAATGGAGGTGCCGTAGTGGGGGGTGGTGTTTTCTCCTCAGCTCCTGGGGAGCTCCACCCTTGGACCACCCCTTCCCGTGCCCCCTACCTACGCTACATGCCTAAGGCCCCCAAAGTCCTAAGAACGGCTCTGCTACTTTCATCACCTCCTCCTAACACCTCCTCCCCTCACCTCCTCCTATTACCTCCTCATATCACTCACCTCTTCCTATCCCCTTCTAGCATCCCCTCCTACTATCACCCCCTCTCATCACCTCCTCCTATCACCTCCTCCCATCACCTCCTACTATCACCCCCTCTCATCACCTCTTCCTATCACCTCCTCCCACCTCTCCTCCTATCACCCCTCCCATCACCTCCTCCCATCACCTCCTCCCATCACATTCACCTCCTCCCATCACCATCACCTCTTCCCATCACCATCATCTCCTCCCATCACCTCATTCGTTTTTGCGCCACACTATAACAAACCTGGGGTCTACTGTCTAGCACTCGTGTCAACCACCCCAAGCAACGGTTCTGATCATCGATTTTTTTTAGCTCTGGCTAGGTCAAGGACGTCCTCACATCATTTACTGTTCCTTGCCGCTGGTGACCACTGGCGTATTTTCTTCCTGATACTATGCTGCCAGCTTCAGCTCCTCCGAAGGTTTACTTTGTTCCTATTTCTTGTAGAGAAAGAATATCGCCAATATTTGTTCGGGCATAATCACCCTCTGTGTGTCGTCGAGTGAAAAAACCAACAGCCAGCGAGAGTGCAAGATGGTTCCCTGATCGATCCGTTGATGCGATACACAGATTTCACGACTAGCTAAAGGGTTAGTGTCCTGATTTCTTCTCTAAAGCTATGTAGAAGTTAGCTCGGTTATAATGACATATCAAGCTAAAGGTTAGATATTCTATTTATTTGATATAATATGTATATTGTAGGAGTAGTTGTTTCCACAGCTAAAAATAGATCCGATTCTTGCCAGAGATAATATCTAGAGTGGTTAATGTCATCTTAACTCATATTCTATATATCTAGAGTATGTATTGTCATTGTTACCTATAATCTATATGTAAGAGTGGTTAATGTCCATTTTAACCTATATATCTAGAGTGGTTAATGTCATGTTAACCTATATTCTATAGTGTATAGAACTGTGTCTCCCAATGAACTGTGTGTCAGTGATATCAGTGACCGATACAGGGGCGAGGACTTGTGATGAGTTGTTGCCCAACCACCACGATAGCCTGTAATTCATTGAGAGCAGTGACCGATACAGGGGCGAGGACTTGGGATGAGTTGTTGCCCAACCACCACGATAGCCTGTAATTCATTGAGAGCAGTGACCGATACAGGGGCGAGGACTTGGGGTGAGTTGTTGCCCAACCACCACCACAGCCTGTAATTCATTGAGAGCAGTGACCGATACAGGGGCGAGGACTTGGGATGCGGCTCCCCCCACCCCACCTTTTTTTTTCCTCTACGCCTATTTCAACTCCACACTTATTACTTATTTTACACAACATTAGTAAGATCGAGCTCACTGTATTTATAGGCTATGACCTACGTTTTCTAGATCTTTGTTTAATAACATCGCAGTATTTAAGCCTATTGATTGTGTTGCTGCAATGGGCATTATATAGGCTTATAGAAATGTAAATGCCATTTAGAAAGTCAGCTTTAATTACGACAGCTTCATCTTTTATATTGCAGTCCACTTAAACAAAAGAACTGGAACGTAACTCGGCCTAAATGAAGGGACGCTATTTTTAAATACTATATATAAACCTCGCTTTTGTGTGTTTTGGGGCAAAATCTTCGGATGGCTAATTGACCCACTTCACGTCAGCACATCGACTTGAAACTTGGCCCATAGACGTGTTGCCGGTGAAAAACCACTCTTTCAAATGTTCAGGCCCCCCTCACACCCTGTCAACTCCAGCCCCACAAAATCAGTTCCCCCCCCCCTGCTTTTTCAAGGGGAAGGTGTATGAAAGATGATGCCTCTAATGTCATGAAATAAAATTTCCAACAACTGCAGTAAATGAGATTCTTTTTACTTCATCATTTAAAAATATATTTTTGTTTTATAAATTATCACAGTTTTAATTGTACGTGCGTCGGAAAATAAATATGATCTTCATGTTATTCAATAAGTTGCTATGCCAACTAAATCAACTTTGTTACGTTAATAAAAATGTATGCAACTGTGTTATACAGTGGCTAAGTAAAGTGGTCCTGTGATGGAATTTTTTTTCATTTCTTGTCATAGAGAGACGGAGTATGCGGCCGAATACACAATTGTTCGTGGAAGGGATTTGGGAAAGCAAATATTCCTTTGCCTAACCCGGGCGTTATAACGACAATAACTTATAAATGAGATCTAAAAAAATAAATAATACTAATTGCGCAAGTGCGTTTGGTGCGCAATATTTTCTTTTATTTTCTGAAAGTGTTGGTGAAATAAATCTGCGGTGTAGAAGTGGGTGGGTCATTAGAAAATTAATATAAAGTAATTTTTTAAAAAAGGCTCACAAAGGATTTGTACAAAAATTCTTGTTTTTAGGGTTGTTCTATTGGGAATCCAAAGAACCAAGGCGTTGTGGGTCAGCAGTTGACTTAGTTGTTTAATTGAGCTATATTCAGAGTAACGTGACAGTGATGCTCTTTCATGAGAAAATGCACACATTTTAGTGCTCACGCTGGCAGGGCAGCTGTTCATCTCATCA